GCCCTGTGAGGCGGCCACAGGCCTGGGGCCCTGGGTGACCTCGCTGTGCTGCCCCAGGGCCTGCCCACACACGACACGGAGGGCAAGGAGCTGAGCAAGGGCCAGGCCAAGAAGCTGCGCAAGCTCTTCGAAGCCCAGCAGAAGCTGCACGCCGAGTACCTGCAGACGGCCCAGTGCGGAGGCGCCCCGAGCCCCCGCCCCAGCTGCTGGCGCTGTGCCCGGCGTGCTCTGCGCATGTTCACCGAGTCCTGTGGCTCCGGGCCTGCCTCGCGGCTCAGGCGGCGGAAATAAAGTCTTCCCACAGCCAGGCCCGCACTCTCTGCCCGCGCCACATGCTCAGCAGGTCACCCCCGGTGCCCGCTCAGCTGAGCCGCCCGGCCAGCCCAGGAGTGTCCCGCAGGCAGATGCTGCTGCTGACCTCCGGGTGTGGGCGCTCGGGGAGGCGGTGAGCAGGAAAAAGGCTGGCTCAGCGCAGGGCCCCCTCTGCTTCTGATGAGTAAGCGCTGCCGCCTGTCGCAGCCGTCCCCCTCGGCCACCACCACCACTCCCATGGCTGGCTCACAGGACCCTGGCCGCTGCCCAGGGCGCCCTTCATGGCTCGGAGGTCTCCACGCAGCAGGGCAGCCCCAGGTCACCAGCCCCTCGCCTCCCTGCTCCCGCGTCCTTGCTCACCAGGGCTCCGGCTCACCCCGGAACCCGAACGCACTAAGCTGGCCAAGCTGGGCCCGCTCCGGGCCTGGAAAGCTTGGCCACGGGCAGCTCTGTAACCGGACAGTCAAGGGGTCCAGGCTGCCTGTCACCCCTTCAGCTGGTTCAGCAGAGACAGGGTTGAATCCTATGAGCGTTTATGCCAATCCTGCCGGCTGTCCGGGAGAGCAGCAGGTCACCCACAGACATCTGCTCTGCCCCCATAAGCCAGCTGATAATATTGGGTAGAAGGACAAAGCTTATGTCGGGAAGTAGGAATTACAGGAGGGGAAGTGGGCACGGGATAATGTTACAGGCAGTGTGGGCTGGGGGGTCGCAGAGGCTGGGCACTTCCAGGACTAGACTGTCTCAGGCATGAGGTTGGAAGTCTTTCCATGAGGCAGGTCTCAGGACAGGAGGATGGCCGCTTTCCTGTGTGAGTTGCCATGTCCCAGGGCGTCCAACTCTCCTCCAAGCCAGCTGCTTATCTTGGGCAGGACAAGGATTCCATGGGAAAGCAGGAATTACAGGCATGGGGAAGTGGACACGGGATCATCGTGACAGGCACAGGCGTGCAGGCTGGGTGGGGGTCATGCGGGCAGGCGCCCGGGAGCAGATTACAGGTAGAGGGGCCGGGGCTGAAAGAGCAGGCGCCTCTGGGATGAGGTGGTTTCGGCCACGAGGCTGTAAATCTTTCCATGACGGTAGGCAGGTCTCGGGACAGGACGACGGACTGCATTCCGTGTGAGCGCCCCTGTCCCAGGGCGGACAGCTCCCAGCCAGGCTAGAGCGCGCTTTCTGTAATCGGAACAGAGCGATCGCCCATAACAGCAGGATTCATGTTCCTTACCATTGTCGCTGGTCCCCAATATTCTGTTTTTGCCCCTAATAGCTCTCAGGACAACGGTAAAGTCATCACGTGGGATGCCAGGTTGGGGAAGCCAACCAGGGCTCAGGTGTCAGCGATGCCCACTGGGGACAGAGCCCCTTAGGTGGCCAGGGTGTCGGGCTGGGCGGGCCGGCACCACGGCAGGCAGACTCTGGGACAGGGTCGGGTGGGTTGTCCTCACTCGTGTGACGCTGACTCCCCCGTGGAGAGTTCGTGTGCAGGGAGCCATTTTCCAGACAAGAGCCAGGAAAGTCCCAGGCTACAGCCAGCGTCCCCGAGCGCCATCGAGCCTGGCACCGTCTGGGGACGACTCTGGGCTCCTCTCTGAGGGGTGAGGGTGCCAGTCCCCTCTGCCCCGTGCGTCTACACGGGAGGTACTGGTCCCCCGCCTACCTACACCCCACAGGGCTAGGGCGGGGGCTCGGGCAGTGCTCCCGGACGCACACGCAGGTGGACACAGCGCGGGGCACTGGGAGTAGGGTCTTTGTGTGCGAGTGCATTGCCTGGGGAGTCCTGGTGAGGCACAGGGACTCACAGAGGCCACGGGGAGACAGGGCACGAGGGGTGAGGAGGCCACAGCCCAGGAGTGCCTGGAGCCCGCATCCGGGAGAGGCAGGAGGGACCCTCCCCGGCCAACACCTCGATTCCTATCCTGGCCTTGGGCGGAGAGCCCCCCTTCCTGGCACTTTGCAGAAGGAATTAACGCAGCTCCCAGCACCCTGACAACTGGAGAGGCTTTGTGAGCTCACCTCCCACCAGCTCGCTGAGGTGACCTGAGGGGAGTCCCCACGGCCACAGCCAGTCCCCCCTCCTTAGATCCCCAAGACCAGGTCCAGCTTCCTGCCTCCCAACGGGAGTGGGGGGATGGGGAGATGGGGGGGCGGGGGCGGCTCCCACGGGGGCCCCACCACCCCTGGGGAACGTGCGCCTTCATTAAACGGGAGGAAAGGCCTCCGAACCTGAAAACGCTCCTGTCTTTTCTGTTGTAGAGTCTGTCTCCTCCCCCAGCTCCGCCCCAGCCGGGCTGATAGCAAAGCCAGGTCGTCACAGAAAGTCCAAGGCAGTAGGAACCCGGCCGCCCCCGACAGTGCCCCGGCCCAGAGGCTCGGGTGTGGGGGTCCCGCCTGGTGCCCCGGCACCTTGACCTTATGCCCTGCAGGCCCCTCAGTCGGGGGCCTCTGGATGGTGTCATGCCCCGCCCCCCCAAGCACCGTAGGACAGGACACACCTTGCTCAAGATGCGTTAGACACTCTCCCCCCGCAACTCCACGCAAGAAAAGAACAAAAGTCATGAAAACCCCAGTTTCAGGTGCAGCAGGGACACGAGGCCCCTCGCAGCCCCCGCCTGGGGACCAGGTTTTCCAACCCAGTTGTCATCTCCGTTGGTTCAGTTCCATTATGTTCTGCACCCTGGGAGGTGCCCCGCCCCGGCGCCGCACCCGCACTGCCC